CATTTTAGGTCAAGAACAAAACAACAGGAGAGGAAAGTAGCAGAGAAATTTTTTACTTGAAGTAAAAACTGAGTAGTACACCCAAACACAAAGAACAAAAAAAAACTTTAAAGTATTAAGTTTAAATCTTGATTTGCTCATCTGAGGCATCTTCCAGGCTTGAACTCAGCTGAACAAATCTTGTGCCTTTTTGAGCTGAGAGCACTGAGGGAAAAACAAAACCAAGAGCCTTAATGTGAGTAAAGATCCAGGGATTGCTGTTTTTGTCTGTAGTGTTTGTTGGTTTTTTACTGCAGTATTTTTTACAAGCTGCAGAATGCTACTGCCTGGTGGGTGACCAGTAAACTGTGTTTAAGAAACAAAAGCGCAGATAAAATTTGATCAATCTTACAAGTTTGTTGTCATTTCAAAAGTGATTTAAACTGTTTTTACATAAAACATTGATTATCCTGTCGCAGCCTTGGTTCTTTACACTGATCCTGATCAATAATTACAGAAKTATTCATAATCTGGAGTTTTGTTTTCAGTGCTTAAAACTAAAACTGAGAACTGAGCCCAGATTGTCATTATTTCTTCCCAAAAACATTATCTCTGAATTATTTGGATTTGATTAAAGAGAGTTTCGAGACACAGATAAGCAGGCGGATAGGAATATGCTTCACGTCATAATAAAGAAAAAAATCAGTTGTATGAACAGAAAAGAGAAAAAGAGACTCATGTACTGGTTGAACAGAAGAACTGATCTGTGTCTTTTGAGAATTGGAATAACTGATACTGACAGCGAATCTTCCTCCTTTCAAGTACGATCAGAGCTGCATAATGACTGTTCCTGAGGGCTCTGAGTATGAAAATCAAACACTGCCACGACTGTCGGACTYTCAGCTTCATTATTCCTGTGAATATCATTGAAAAAGAAAGTGCAGCCGGACAAAAACCCTCGGTAAAATGATCATATGCAGATTGGTGAAAAGCTCTGTACACCRTTGTTCGCTCACTGCCTTTAACTGCCCACTGCTGCAGGCTGAAGGTCTGCCTGCTCCACAAATTACACACAATGAACAACCGTGCAGCAACATGCATTCACAGCCAGACAGCTTCAGGATTGCAAAATGACTGCATCTACATATTTGATATGTTTATAAGTCAATTCTTAAAAATAATTATGATGACATCAACTAATTTAACTTTTAGAACCCAGTTCAAGATGGCTGCCACWTCAGCCTCAGCCAACAMGTCTTTAAYTCTGAAGTTTTACAGATACTGAGCTACAGTTTGGTACACATGTAGGTGTATATATYTAAATATTTATAGTATCGATACCAAGATGGGCATCTGTATCGGAGCGATACTAGCATGATGACGTTGCTATTTTTGTTTACAATTTATTTGCAATACTGACTTTATTTTTCACAATTAAAGTGAAAAGTAAAGTCACTAGTGAAGAATGCAAAGTGTTTAGAGTTTTTAACTGAAACACCTTTTCTTAGCCAAGACCGAGTGCAATGGCATTTTTTGTTGTTGACATATTTATATTTTTGTTTCCATTTTATTGTCGTTTTTATTTTGCACTAAATTGTTTTAAATTGTTGTAGTTGGTTAAAAATAAACATATTTGCCATAAAATCTTTGTCCTATTTTATCATATACAACTGACTAAATGCAAAATTACAAAATTGC